CTTAGATAAATGCATTGCAACATTGACTCAAATTTGATTTTTATCTAAAACATTTTTTATTTATCTTATTTAGATCTTATATGTATGTGTTCATTAAAAACTCCATTCTATATCCTCTCGGCATTCCTGCGCATGACCATCGAGTGATGCGATTATGCCAACATCATCATCATTATCATCCATTATGGAATTGGTGTCCAGTTCGGATCGACATTTCTTAATGTAATCCGTGATGGAGGCATGTCTGCATTGCTTGAAGAAAGCGTGAGTCATCAGCTTCTTCGCGCTCCAGCGATTCTCGGCATTGCGATTCAGACAAATCTCCACAAACTGGTGGAAATCGTCGGAGAGCACACGTTGACTGTAGATATCATAGGTTCGTCGCGTCGTCGCATTCTCAAATGGAATTTTGCCCTGATCGTCCAGGAGCATGGTATACGTCGATCTATCTAATAAGGAGGGCACATTTCCCCGTATTTTCTCTGTGTACATTAGCGTGGGTTGTGTCTCGAAATAGGGTTGGATGCCGTTAGCCAGCTCACATGCCGTTATGCCCACGGAATAGATATCTGATTTCTCCGTATATCCATGAATATTTTGATCCAAAACTTCCGGAGCAGCCCAATTCAGATGCTTCTCGTGCGAGATGCCATGCAAAACGGGTTTCTTTTTGCCATGCTTTATAAAACTGCGACTCTCGTGAAAATTAGATAATACTGCCTTATTTCCATCCAATAAGATGTGAAGAGCCCTCACAGACCCATGAACAAAGTCATTCGAGTGTATATACAAAAGGGCGGCGAGGACATCCTTGAATATCAACGCTATCAACGTCTCTGGAAAGCCGTTGCAGAACGTAGTTTTTAACAGAAGCTCACATGTGCCAAAGCACATATATGGGTGCAGCACATAGACATCGCTATCCACAATAAAGCTATTTAAAATCTTATTGATATTGGGATGATTGAATTGTCGACAACATTGAATCTCGGCGAAAAGTCGCTTTAGTTCGGCATCATCGTCCACTTCCAGTGAATATTTTTTAACAACTATCACACGATTGTTGACAGTACAATTTGCTTTGTAAACCGAACAGAATTTGCCATGCTTAAATGCTTTTGTGAACTCATAGTCTGTTAAGCTATTGCTACACATTATTATTTCAATTTGTAGAAAAAAATTTGTGTCCGAATTTCGAACAGCTGACTTTGACAGCTGTGATCTAATTAACGGCGTTGTTTTTGCAAATGGACGGCTCGGTATTGCCCGCACAAAATTTGAAGGAATGTGATTTATTTATTGCTTGTCAGTTGATAAGTAATTTGAATATTAATATTACTTTCTTTTCAATTCATGCTGTAAAACAATTGTAAAATATTCTTTTAAGTATTTTTATTTATATTTTTTGTCGTTATTTGTTTGTCTTGCAAACAGCTGATTTTAACAAACACTACCTTAAAAACGGCGTTGACTTTGCTAATTAACAGCCTAAGAGTGCGCACAATCGCAAAAGGCGAACGACGAACACAGCATTAATGCTGTTTATTTATATTACAAATGAAGTATTTTAAATATTAAACATGGCCACGATAAGCGACACCTTTCGTACCAACTGGCTAATCGCTACCTTTGGCCTGGGTTTGTTTATCGCCGGCTCCAGCGTGCTCTACTGGAACGAAGGGCGAGCGGTGCACACGATGTTGGCTCTGGATGAGGCTTATGCCGATATCTACTCGATGCAGTTCACCGAGGAGGAGCAAGATATGAATTTTGAAAATCGCATTGTACATCTATCGGGGCCCATCATATGTGGAGAGCCGCTCACCGAGCCCGACTACAATATACAGCTCATGGCAGTGAAACTAAGGCGTCGCGTACAAATGTACCAATGGGTGGAAGAGACAGTGGAGCACAATTTCGGCGAGAGCGTGGGCACAGAGGCGGACTCACGCAGCTATTACTATACACGCGAATGGCGTGACAAGATCGTGGACTCGCGACAGTTTCACAATCCCCATGGCCATACGAATCCACAACGATTCCCCATCGAGAGCGCCGTCCAAGTGGCCGATGCGGTTTACATAGGCAAATATGAGCTGGGTTCGGCTGTGAAGAACAAGTTCAACAACTACCATGAGCTGACCTCGGACATAAGGCCGGATGACAGCGGAATCAAGCTGCATCTGGGTCTCTACTATCACACCAGCGATGTGTTCAATCCGGAAGTAGGAGATCTACGCCTGCTCTTCACCTATGCGGGCCTAGAGGGCGAACTGTACAGTGTCGTGGGTCGCTTGCAGGGCAACAAAGTGGAGCCGTATGTCACCAGTCGCGGAGTGCCCGTACTGCTCGTCTACCCGGGCGAGATAAGCGCACTGGAGGTATTCCGATTGGAGTATAGAACTCAGGTGCTGCACACCTGGTGGTGGCGCTTCATAGGCTGGCTCCTGATCTTCTTTGGCGTCACCTGCAACACGAAACTGCTGAGGGTTGTATGTGAGTGGATAACCAAAGACTTCTATAACTATATATATTTATATATATTTGCTAGCGGATATTTAACTCTACAAATATATTTCTATAAATATATCCCTTCTACTCTCCCTTTGCAGTGCTCCGTGTGCCTTTGCTGATTGGCCTGGCTCCCGATTCGCATTATCCGGTAACTGGGAACTTCTTGATCGCCTTCTCGCTGTCGCTGACCATTGCCGCGGTGGCCTGGATACTGCATCGACCTGTGATTGGCGCCTGCCTGTTCCTAGCGGGCGCCTCGCCCTACGTCTGGCTCACACGCAATCTCGTGGACTATCAGCGAGTAGATTAGTCCGTTATGTTCTCGTAGATATTTACACATAACTTATTTTTTTTTCGTGCCATCAATGTCAATAGAAAACTGAATAACACTTAAAAGCTAATCGTATTGCTATAATCCTAATCCTAGAACTCTCGTATGCCCGGATTCGTTGGCTCGCTCAGCTTCGACTTGGGCGTCGACTCAGTGGAGGTGTGCACACTGGGACTCTGCGACTTGTCCTGCTCCTCGTGGCACGCGGCCGGCTCCTCGAAGCGCACGTAGGGCTCGAAGCTATTGTTGATCTGCACCGAGCCGCGATGCAGATTGTTGGACTCCGCCTCAAAGAGTATTTCGTTGATGAATCTCTCGGCAAGCAGACGCTGCTCGCGGGGCAAGCGCTTCAGTTTGTATGTCCAGGTGCGAGCAATGGACTCCTCCTCTGGATAAGTGCCCGCCAGATACTCGCAGGCTATATTCAACAGTTCGTCCGTGTTGTGCGTGCTCACTGTAGTCGTGGTAGCGGAGGAGGAGTTGTTCCCGTTGCTACTGCAGGGTGGGGTCTGCCTGGCTCGCTTTGCTGCATTTGAATAGTCGGGCTGCTGGTGCATTAATCCCGATCCCGCTGCTGCTGGCGGCGGGGGCGGTGGCAGCGGATCTACCTTTTGTACATGCCCAAACGATTTGTGAAACATCTCCGAGATGTTCGGCGTCTGACCCACTCCACTGCGATACGAGTAATGCAAGGAGGAGGCGCTGCTGCCACTGCTGTGCTCCATGAAGGATGCCGTCGAGCTGGAGTTTTCATTGAAGGAGAAGCTGGGCTCGTTCTTGAATGTAGGATTCACTGCGAGGAACTTTTCTGTATTCCTCAAAAAGTCCAGTTCCTGAAAGGTCCAACAACGTGGCGTATGCAAGCTGCCCGTGCGCATGGCGCTTTCCACGACTTTCAGCTCCTTGCGATAATTCGTGCGCAACGTGTTGATCTTTTTCTTCACATCCTCGACGGTCGCATCGCGCTTCAGATAGTGGTAAATGGGCACCAAGCGCTGATATGCCTCTGCCCGCTTCTCTCGATTCGTATAATCCCGCAGAGAAGTGTCCCACAGGACGGGCATATCCCGATATGTCTGTATAAAGGCACGCAGATAATGACGATTCTCCTCGGCTCCGGACATTATTTTGATGCTATGCGACGGCTGCTGCGGCGGCGGCGGCGGTTGGTGAAGCATTCTCTTTTATTCAAAATCGACTTTCAAATGTTCCCTCTTAAAGGGCGGTAAAAATTTACCAAAATAAAAACAAAGCGAAAAACGATCGAAATTGGTTTTACTTCTGCGTGCAAGTGAAAAAATGACGAATTTATGTATGGACCTATTGACGAAATGTCAGATTGTTGTTGTTGTAGCCGCGATGGTGGTGGTGGTTTGCTTGACAGATTGCTGGGCATATTGCTGCATTGACGTAACTGCGCTTGTGTGTGTGACGTCACAGCAACAAGTGTTGTCTGCGCTTGAGTTTTTATTTTACTGCATGTGGTAACACTGCTCCGGCAATCGAATATAAACTCTTAACGATTACGAGTTTTATTTGAACAGAGTACCATTTTGAGTATAACATTTTCTTTGTATGTTAACGGTGTGGCATAACAGTGCCTTTGTGAGTAGAAGAGCAGAGAACATTAACATTTATGTAAAATAAAGCGAGACGAACAGCCGTGCGACCGGACGTGTTTGACCGTTGATTTTGATTTTTAATTCCGACGCGCTGCAAAGAAAGTATAAACTGAAACACGTACAAGGCGCAGTATAATTATTTGTATACGAATTACAATATACATTTGTGCAGTTAAACGCGTGTATGCAAAAAAGAAAAATTATAAACAGGATTGCAAAAAGTGCTAAATCAAAGTGACGCCGTCCACTGCTTGTGTTTCTGCTGCATTTAGTGGAATTCGATTGTTTGCGTGTACGCTACGCGTAAGTGTGTGTGTAAATTGTGACTGTTGGCGCTTGGCAGCGATATTTTGCGCGCCGCTTTTTAATTAACCAAAGCGTTGTTCAATTTAATTGTGCAAAAACAAAGATGCTTTGGCATTGGGCATTATTCAAGCTATGAGTAAATCATAGCAAACAAACCAACATTAAATAATAAAACAAAGAAAATCAAACACGAAAGCTGTTTCAAAAGTGTATGTGTGTGTGTTTGTGTGTCCAAAATTTAATGCAATTCAAAGGAAATGGAGACCATCGAGGAGCAATCAAAAACAGGTGAGTTCGCGAATCGTAAAATAGAAGAGTGGGCAGCAGCAGCTGTTTTGCCTCACATCCGCTGTTTCGCTTTATTCCTATATAAATATAGAAATATATATTCTTTCAATTTTTAATTTTTCAATGTCGCAGGCGTTAAGCACACATAAAAAATGTCACAGCCAGCAAATAAATATCTTGGCTAGTACTTTCTTGCTGTAGTCAGGGAATTTTAAGCTACTTTTTTTTTCAATTTGTTGAAATTTATTTCGGTGTGAAACATATTTATGTATCGTTGTGAATGATTTGCGCGTATATAATATGTGTGAGTCTGTTAAACGTAGTTGCACCCCTCACCCCGCTGCGCTCGCGACAAACCGGCACTGTACCCAGCAACAACAATAACCAAAAGCGCAGCCGCCGCGGCGAAGTTCCTGGCTGCCTGCCTGCCTGCCTAACTGTAGGTAGATCAGCCAACAAATTGCGTGCGCTCACCCTCTGTTCTCTCCCTCTCGGTGTCTCTCTTTTTCTCATGCTAGTTTTGTTATTGTTACTAGACCTAGTGATTTACCTACCACACGTTTGCATGTCTGCTTTCCCCTGCCTGTCCTTCTTCCCTCTTTCCGGGTATACATACTTAACAGAGCGCGCGCACATGCCAATGTTTTCGGCTGTCGGCTCAATGTTAATGGCATTCTTGCATACACACAAGCGCATCTGCATATATGTATAGGTGTGCGTGTGTGAGTGTATGTTTGTGCGAAGGCCTTTGCGTAGTCGCAATGTACTGAGCCAAGGCTCTGCCAGATGACAACGTAATTTTATTACAAGATTCCACTTTGATGAGTCTGTTGCAGAAAAAACCTTTAGCGAAATATCAGAACTAGAGTCCCCACGCTGATCATCATGCAAATGCCACTCAATTAGTTTTTCGTCATGTCTCTTTGGCAAGGGGCCAAAGCAATCGAAGAAGAGTTAGCAGAGAGAGAGAGAGAGGAGAGTAGAGAGTGACCAGCGCAGGCAGCGGCAAAGGGAATTTCCCAAAATGAAAAAAAGGAAGAGAAGTAAATACTAGCCATTATTTCCCTCTGTCAGCCACCACCTGTGAGGGTCGTTTCGCACTCTGCCCCGAGTGTCGTGTATTTGCATTGGGTTTTCTGCTTCGACGGGGGCGCACACCTGTGGCTTCCGCCTGACTGCGTTGTCAGGTGATATTTTAGTTGCAATTCAGAGTTTGATCCTTAAACATCAGCAGCAACAGCAGCAGCAGCAGCAGCAGCTTCAGCATGTTGCACTTGCCAGTGGCAACAACAACTCAGCATTCTCAGCTCAACTATGGGCACGCCTGCAACAAGCAGCGAAATATCGTCACGGTTCGTCGTCAGGCTTGGTCCTATTTCACATACGCAGCCCAGGAGGAAGTCAAGCAGACGCATCTCAAACAGGCCGCACTATGTCAAGTGTATGAGGACTTTACAGGTATTTCCTTACACAGGCCAGGCACTTACCACCAGCCCAGTTAACGGTGGAAGTGTCTCACGGGGTTGTTCTCACACAAATTTCGCAAATAGCAAATACACTTTATAACGAACGACTTCATTTTGGGCATTTTGTGGTACGCAATTTAATTGAAATTCAGAACGTGTTTTTGCACTTTAAGGAATTTGGCGCAAACAAACTCAAACAGACCAGGGAACGAAGCTCTGAATTCAAGCAGAAACTGTTTTATTCTGTATATGAATATATTTATATAATATGTATATACATATGTATAAACAATTTAAATAGATTTGTATAAGAAGCAAAGTGAATAATAGCTTGAAGCAGCTTTCTTCAAAGGAAAAGAACATTCTTATTAATATAATTTTTGCCAAACTTACTTACTTTTCCTTAGTATTTACCTTACAATAATTA